AAGAAGAAGAAGAAGAAGAAGAAGAAGAAGAAGAAGAAGAAGAAGAAATAGAAGAAGAGGAGGAAGAGGAGGAACTGAAGGAAGAAGAAAAGGAAGAAGAAGAAAATGCCAAGTCCAATTTGTGTTGCCCATATACTCATTGGAGCCTGGTCAAACTCCCAGTGCCCAGCCCCTTTAAGAAAACTGAGTCCTTCCCCACCCACACCCCTGCCAGAAGCCATCAACTGTGAGGAGTTAACTTCAGTAGCCTTATCACAATTTGAAAGAGTTCTTGTCAAATAGTCTAGACTGTTTCTTTCTTTTTTTTGTGGGGGTTGTCACAGAAGTTTTCTATGTCTCTCATTCTCTCTGTAGTCATTCTCCAGTATGAGCTCTGTGGTACCAAATTAAGGTAGATCAACCACTAAAGGCCTTGCAAGTCTATGGCCTCTTTTTAGTGTGAGAGCTCAGATGCTTTGAGTGACCTTGCCATATTTGATACATTCACAAGGGTTCTTTCCAGTGTGACTAAATTGATGCTCAAAAAAGATAAAAATCTTGGTATGGTAGCACATGTAAGTTCTAGGCTAGCCTGCTCTATATAGTGAGTGTCAGACAAACAAAACAAAGCTACTTAGCAAGACTTTGTCTCAAACAATTTTATTTGTAATTTCAGTTCCAGGGAATCTGATGCCCTCTTCTGCCTTCCATGGGTACCAGGCACACATGTGAATATATACATGCAGGAAAAACACAATAAACATACAATAAAAATAAATAAGTCTCCTTTAAAAATTAACAGGAAACCTTGTGATTGTAATGAGATTGGTAGAACACTGAGGTGTGATTCAGCCTCCCTAAAGTACAGGTACCTCACAATGGACACTCACCCTGACTCCACCCACCACCCAGTTGCTCCATGCCCTCTTGGCTGCCAGTACCCTGCCTGGCGCATTGGCACTGGAGCAGCCTCTGTGCCCTGCAGTCCACTGCTGGGGAGTGAGGATTAAGAAAAAAGACAGAGAAAAGAGATAGATTCAGGAGGACAGTCAGTGAATACTGAAGCCTCAATTTTACTTTTCTGAGCCTGTTTCTACACTACCCAGAGCATGAGAAATCAATCCAAAATCATTCTCAAAACACAATGTTAACATAACACAGGAAAAGGATGTCTGTGAATGTCCTGAAGCTGACCACCACAGTCCAGTACATAGTCCCTTTTCCCAATCATCAGAATTTGTTTGAGGGTATTCCTCAGTACCCCCTATTTGATTACCTGACCAACCCAACATATATCTGTCACTTCCTGCTATATTATGTTCTAACGGCTTATTTCTTAAACATCTCATCCATAACAAAGTCTTATTACTGTACTGTGTCTCTGGTGCACAAGGCAAGAACTTTTGTGGGGAAATTTTTCCTTCAACCAGATTTCTTTTAGGCAGTAATAGCTCAACATTGGTACACATTCCTCCCCATCCAACAAGACCATGGTTGTATACCCCAGTACAACCAACTGGAGACACACCTTTAGCAAAACAGATAGGTGTCCCTTTTCCAGAACCTGAATAGTTAAACCCTGATGACTGACGGATATCCAATCTCTCGGAAGCAGGCGGTGCAAAGCAAATGTGTATCATTTGCAAAAACCACGATTTCTCCTCCTTCCCAAATTGTAGGATGAAGGAGTGGAGGATCCAACACATATGGCCAATACAATTCTCCATTAGTTGACATCATCTGGAGTATTATCCCCATTGTCCACAGCATCAGCCATCTTGGTCTCGGTTCCCGTGAACCGCACCACTCTTTTTGGTAATCATTGGGCCTTTTTAGCATTTTAAGTAAAACACAAACATGCCCTCACCCCTATAGAAGCACTGGGTCAGGGTCATGCCACTACCCTAAAGGCTTGAGAAAATGGTTCTAAGTTCTTCGCTAGACTGCCCAAGGTTATTATTTTAAAATACCTGATAAACTTTAAAATGTTTCATAGCTTTATATATGCAAATGTTTTTAAAAACCTGTATTTTTCAATATCAAAATAAAATACCTTTTAAAGAGTGAAGTCATAGAGCATAACCATAGCTTTTAGAAGTCAAAATAAAATTTTATATTACCTCTGGAGACTTGTTTCTTTAGTTAGCTCATGCCATTTGTTATTAGAATGGCTCCAACCCTAGGTTTTAAGTTTAAGTTAACTTTGTTACAGATATTAAACATACCCAATAACCAATAATCTATAACCAAGACATATAGAACATAGTAAACATTCAAAACAGACAGACAAAATTCTCTCTCTCTCTCTCTCTCTCTCTCCCCCTCTAATTTGAAATAAACCTTTAAACAATTTCCAAGTCAGGTCAGCCCTGACATGTACCATGGATGTGTAATGACTCTCATCTCCAACAATCAAGTCACCCAGCTGAGAATGCCACCCAGGACAGGGGAAAGCAGTCTCCTCATAGGCAGCTGCCCCAGCTTTGGCTCTAATCTGGCATCCATCTGGCAGATGCTGTCCCGAAGTTCCTCCAGAAGGTTTCACTCCTTGAAGTTTAGGTTCAGATGCTGGGAACGGTTCTCTCTTCCAAGAGCATCATAAACTGAGTATCCAGCTGGAGCACAGAATGGGAGTCTCTTCAGTGACCTCAAGAGTGTGCACATGTGCGCACATGCATGTATGTGTGTGTGTGGGGGGTGGTGGTCGTTTTCGGATGGCCTTTTGTGTGCATGAATGTGCAGGGATGGATGGATGGATAGGTGGATAGATGGATGGGTAGGTGGGTGGAGTATGTGTGGACTTGTCGTTCCAGCTGCTCCAGTACTGGAAAGTTCTTGTTATGCAGTACAGCACTGGGCTCTTCCACACAGATCTGGAGATGGGCCGCTGTGCAGGGTCCTACTGATGTGAGTGGTTCTGTTGTCTCTGGCTGTGGCTGCTGCTACCCTTTGTGTCTCCGAGAGTTGGAGCCTGGTTCCTTGCTGTTCTTCCTAGCTGGATGCCTCTTGACTTTCTCTCTCCAGCCTTGGCCCCCCTTCCTTCTCTTCTTGCCCCTTCATGCCCTGAGGGCATGGCATCCTACGCACTGTACACTTTCGGGTCTCCTTTGTGTCGGAACAGGTGGTCTGGTCTTCCCCAGGAGCATGGAGCACCCTGCATGTCCACTCTTCTGATCCCTTCCAGAAACTGCACAGCTTCCTCTTCTTGGAGCAGGGCCCCCACAGGGACCACTCACTTATTTCACATTGCACTCCACAGTGCTGTTGGCTGCCACGTAGCCCTGGGGACAGGCTGGATAGCAGCGGTCCTTGTTCAAGTACAAGCCCCCTTGACACTTGGTGCAGAAGTTGTGGCTAAAGCAGGCCTCACAGTGCTCCATCTTGCGTTTGATACATTTGTTCATGTCAGGGCTTCCGGCATCAAAGTATCCAGGCAGGCAGGACCACAAGCAGACGCCCACCTGGCGGATGTCATTCCTCTCCAGCAGAATGAACCACTTGGGTAAGCACTTGAGGCAACCTTTGACTTCTGAACAGAGCTTGCAGCCCTTGTCAAAAGCTTGGCTCCCCTCAGCACTGATCTGCCTCTGCCTCTTGCCCTTGGTCCCCTTGTTGCTCATAGTGAGGTGTGTCCAGCTCAGAGCCACAGCCACCACACACAGCCCAAGCCAAATAGTCACAGGCCAGCTCTGGGCCCCAGACAGGAGGGGTGGTCTCTTGCTAAAGACTCTGAGGCTGAGTCAGTGGCAGGAAGCCCAGGCCCGGATGCAGCCCAAATCCACCATACCCTCAGCTGAGACCTGAGGGGGTTGTGGAGCTGGGTTCTGAATCTGCCCAAAGGCGGGGGGTCCTGTCCTGTTTGAAGCCACCTCAGAGGGTCACATGGGAGGTCTTTTCAACCCCAAGATAGACCTGGAGCAGTGACCATGGCAGGGCAGCTAGGAGGGGATGAGGGCATGGTTACTGGGTCCCACACTGTGATAGGCCCCACGCTCTGCCCTCTTGGCTGCCAGCATCCTGCCGGGTGCATTGGTACTGGGGTGGCCCTCGGGGTCCTCCGCAGTCTGCTGCCTAGGTTCTGTTACCTACACCAGCTATTTTTTTCTCACGTATATTATACTCTGACCTCAGTTTCCCCTCTGTCCCTCCATCTCCTACCTCTTCCATCTACCCACCACAACCACTCCTCAGTTTCCCTTCAGAAAAAGCAGGCCTCTCAGGAATACCAATCAAACATGGCATATCAAGTCGTAATAAGAGGCCTCCCCTCATATTAAAGCTGGATGAGGCAACCTAGTGGGAGAAGAGTCCCCAAAGCAAGAGCATCAGAAATAGCCTCCACATTGGCCTCAGTTACATCATGGTCATAGCTAACCAATAGCAAAGAATGTAACTTTTCAGATTTATTGAGCTGGCATCATGCTAATTTGTTTATATTGGAACCCTATGTACACAGGCAAGTAGTACACTAATGAACTGGGGGTAGCTACCATAGGGTCTGACACTAGATCAAAGTTTAACTATTGATATCATGACAGAAATCTCTAGCTACAATTGCCACACACACATACACACACACACACACACACACACACACACACACACACACACAATGCCCAAGTCTGGACTGTAAGAAATCATATTCCAACTCAGAGTTCTAGTGGCTCCTTTTTTGCTATGCAACTTACCACTCTGGATTTGCCTTCCTAATAAGTCTCTTCTGCATAGTCCTTTTAAGTTTAAACTGCAACTTTAGACCCCATGGTTATCTCTGAAAAAAAATTCTCACTTCCGTTTCTGAATTGAACAGTATTGAAGTCTTGTTCCTTTCTGCTGTTTTAAACTTCTTCCTCAGCTGAGTATGGTGGTGCATGCCTTTGATCCCAGCACTCTGGAGGCAGAGGCAGGTTGATGTCTGTGAGTTAGAGGCCAGCCAGGGCTACACACAGAGAAACCTTGTTTCAAAAACAACAAACAAGAAAACAAGACAAAATAAAACAAATAAACTTCTTCCTCAGGCAAATACAGAACTGGTGTCAGAATGGTAGCTGCTTCTACTCTGCAAAATGAGGAAGACTGTTTTTGATCTGTTTTCCTTCCTGCTGTGCCCCAAGTCATTTTGGAAAGTCCTGTAGACATGAGGAATTAAGTGAATGATGCATTTGGAAACTTAAAGAACACTTTGCCTTGTGAGAATGAAAACACTGGGCATACATCCCAAGGACACTCACTCCTCCTTTCTGAGATGTAAGCACCTTTCTAAGCCTCTTCAAGCTCAGCCTCCCTGGGTCTGAGCTTCCCAGAGGAGAGAACAGCAGCATGATAATCATCTCCAACATGGACAACATGCCTCTGCAACTATGTCTTCTGGTCCACTTTTGGGAAACTTCAGGAGGAAGAGAGAAACTCTGAGAGAAGGGAGGTTCTTCTATGCATAGTAGAGCTCTGCCCCTTCAGGGAGCCTTTAAAGGCACCTGCGTACTGGCTACGCACCTTCCCACTTCCTTCCAGCAGGTGGCAGAAGCAAACTGGGGAGTAAAGGGTAAACTTGGAGCTTTTCTTTCCATGTTTGGAGGCATTTGGGAGCTGGTAATAAAACCCCCTTCACTTAGGCGTGCGCAGGTGGGAGGGAGGGGGCAGCATGTCTCCTAGAGAGGTAGCATGCCACCTCTCTTTTCCTTTTCACTTATCCAACGGCCCATGCTGGGCAAACGCATCTGCCAGGCCAGTTTCTCTAGGCTGGGGAGCTTCTTCACTCAATTGGTTGGCTGTTGAAAGAGGAGCAAAAATTCCCAGTGCTAGGTGTGGGGCATTGGTGGGAGTGTGTGCGTTAGAGGTAGAGAAGAGTTGCTTTGATCCTGTGCCTCTCTGTTGCTCCGGAGATGGGGCGAACACACACACATGCACACACACATGCATGCGGCTCAAATCTGCTCCTGTCCTTCTAGGATCTCAGAAGAACAGGCCACTTAGGACTCCCAAGATAGTCAGGGTCTAAGTCAGACCAGTCCTGGCAGGGTAGCAAAAGGGGAGGAGGCTAAATGGGGAAGGAGGACTATTGGTAAGAAAGCATTCATTAGTTATCTCCCTCCCTCTGTCACCCTCCTGGCCCTCTCTTCTCTTCCCTTCCTCACTTTGTGAAAGAAGCTTCTCACACTTTACATTGCACTCTGGATATGATGCTCTTGAGTGTCAGTGGCCAAATCTACTCTGTCAAGAGCAAATTATCTATAACTATGAAACTGTTCAGTTTCATTCTTACCTTGTGAGTAGGTCATTGCAAAGCTCCCCTTGCCACTCACCATGCCCTTAAGCACAAACTAAAGTGGCCACCCCTGCCACAGGGTAGGGGCCACCAGGTGCTGTGAAAGGAACGCTTGTGAGAAAGGAAAAGTGTTGTGGGATCGCTTGGTTTCTGGCAGCACAGATGAGCCGAGAGCCTCTTTCACCAGCCTGGGCACTGAGCTGTCCTACCTCCTGCCTGAACCATTTTGAGGAAGAACAGAAAGCACTACAGGTGGCTCTGGAGCCCATGATGGTCTGCCGATTCCATAAGGCCCCGAAGGGAATCTTTATTCACCCCTGTGGGTTTTGGTCATTTCTCACTGAGCCATTTCCTTCCCTCTTAGGCTGTGCTAGAACTGACTCAGTTGCAGCATTTGGCAGCCATAGGAACCAGTAAGTTGCCAAGCCTCCCACTGGACTTGGAGCAGTGTGAACTTTCTGAGGCACTTTGGGTTTCTGTTGAGGATCACAGAGAAGAAAGAACAACAACAAGAACAAAAAAATCCCCACCCACACACCCTCCCATCCACCAAGCAACCAACCAAATAAACAGGAAAAGAGAGAATTGACATGATAGTGCAAAATACATTTGCTTTGAGAAGGTGGTAATCCATAGTCGCTCAGATTGGACATCTGGACATCATGCATAGATTTGCAGATTTCAAACTCTAATGCTGAATCAGTCATTTGGTTTTTCCATTTGAAAAGAAAGCTGTGCAATCACAAGTTACCCTCTACTCCAGATATAGATTAGGGATTTATGGATATGGAATTTTATATTAAAAACATTGTTTTTCATTATTTCTTTCCCCATTCTTCTCCCCAAAGTCCCGTTGATACAGTTTATGATAATTAAAAGGCATCAGTTAAAGGAAAGCTAGTCCCATACTGTTTCTAGCTCTTTAAGCTGTGTACTTTTCTTTTAAGACACTTGCAATTTATGTTTTTTTTTTTCTTGTAGGAAATCATTTAACGATTTAAAAATATCAGCCAAGGGTCAGTGAGATGGCTCAGTGTATAAAAGTGCTTGCAATAAAGCCACATGTTTTTAATCCCAGCACAATTCGACACACAGGCAGGCAGGTAGTTGTGAGTCTGAGACCAGCCTTTTCTACAAAGTGAGTCCAGGACAGCCAAGGCTAAACAGAGAAGCTATGTTTCAAAAATAAAAATAAAAATAAATATTTTTTAGTTGGAATGATTGCTTTATCAACGTCTTCTTGGACATCAGGCTTGAGCACGCCCCTAACATTTTCATTAACTCTGTTCTCTAAACAGCAAACACATAAAAGTATGTAGAATACAACTTAGTTAGTGTGTAGTGGGAATTTCCTCAATACTCATGTACCTTTCAGCTTCTGGGGGCCGTTAGCATCTCTTGATTGTGCCCCCCTTATTGTGTACTTTACCACTGTCTTTATATGTGTCTGTAACATCTGCCCTTACCTTTTGTTATTGTTTTGAGACATGGCCTCACTATGCAGCCCTGGCTGACCTGGACCTAGCTTTATAGGCTGGTCTTCTCATTTTCTGGTCTTACTTTTGTTTTGAGACAGGGTTGTTGAAAAGATAAACTATAATTTGGGGGCAGGGAGGCTTTTCTAATCACCCGCTCTAGTTCCCAAATAATAAGACAGAGCCTGTTAGATTTACTCAACAAGCTTTAAGGCCTAGAACCGGGCAACTATTGCTACATTCTAATCCTCTATGCTAGTCTGGCTACTTTTCTTTTCTTTTGACATTTTTTATTATGTTTTTAATATTAGTTACAGTTTGTTAACTTTGTATCCCGCTCCCTCTTTCCCTCCCAATCCCTCCCTCCCTCCCTCATCTCCTCCCTCCCTCCCTCATCTCCTCCCTCCCTCCCTCATCTCCTCCCTCCCTCCTTCATCTCCTCCCTCCCTCCCTCATCTCCTCCCTGCCCATTTCCAAGTCCACTGATAGGGGAAGACCTCCTCCCCTTTCATCTGATCCTGGTTTATCAGGTATCTTCTGGACTGGCTGCAAAGTCCTCCTATGTGGCCTAGCAGGGCTGCTCCTCCCTCGAGTGTGTGTTTGTCAAAGAGCCAGCCATTGATTTCATGTCAGAAATAGTCCCTGTTCTCCTTATTAGGTACCCACTTGGATACTGAGCTACCTTGGGCTACATCTGAGCAGGGGCTTTAGGTTGTATCCATACATGGTCCTTGGTTGGAGAAACAGTCTCATAAAAGACCCCTGTGTCCAGATATATTTGGTCCTTGTGGAGCTCCTGTCCTCTCCACGTCATACTAACTCCCCCTTTCTTCATATGGTTCCCTGCAGTCTGCTGAAGGTTTGGTTATGAGTCTTAGTA